GGGGTGGGAAGCAGCAGCTGCTGCGGAGGGCGCAAGCGGGGAGTTCGGCGCTTCTGTTCTTTTTGTTGCAGTTTGTGTTCTTTTGTTGTTTTGTCACTTCTTTTATTGCATTTATTGTTTTTATTTTTGTTTTTTTGTTTTTATTTTTGTTTTTTTGTTTTTATTTTTGTTTTTTTGTTTTTATTTTTGTTTTTTTGTTTTTATTTTTGTTTTTATTGTTTTTATTTTTGTTTTTATTGTTGCTTGCATTGGCTTTGTTCGAATTATTTTCTGGTTTGGGGTAAGGAACTGGTTTCGTGTTGAAACTCGCTTTTAGTGTTTCAAATATCCTTTTTGTTTTGCAAATATCCTTTTTGTTTTGCAAATATCCTTTTTGTTTTGCAAATATCCTTTTTGTTTTGCAAATATTTTTTTTGTTTTGCAAATATTCTTTTTGTTTGCAAATATTCTTTTTGTTTGCAAATATTCTTTTTGTTTGCAAATATTCTTTTTGTTTTCAAATATTCTTTTTGTTTTCAAATATTCTTTTTGTTTGCAAATATTCTTTTTGTTTTCAAATATTCTTTTTGTTTGCAAATATTCTTTTTGTTTTCAAATATTCTTTTTGTTTTCAAATATCTTTTTGTCTTTCCAACATCGTTTATTGTCTTGAAAATGGTTTACTGTGTTGGAAGCATCCTTAAGTTCTTGAAATGTCTTCCATTTCCTCGCAAATGTCTTTCCTTTTCCGCAAATATATTTCTTGTCTCAGAAGAACATTTAATTGTTTTGCAAAAATCTTAAAATGCATCCAAACAGTTGTTGCTTTCACTTCAAACTCCTCCATTTCTCGACTCCCAACCCCCCCTTCCTCCCAAAACTGCTTCCCCTCCCCCTCAAAACCCCCCGATCATCTGCAAAATGGTTTTAATTCTTTTAAAAAAGAATAAACTTCTCAAAAAAGAACAAACGGATCCAAAAAAGCCCTCATTTCCCCGAAAACTCGCACTGTTGCGGCGCTGCGCAGAGGCGGAGGCCGTGAAGCGACGCAAACTCGAAATCGCCTCCAAAAAAAAAGCCTCCGGCGCCCGCGGGAAAGCCATTAGGGCGGTGAAGCTTCGCGTGGAGGAAGAGGGGCGGCCTCCGTGCAAAATGGCTGCGCGGGAGTGGGTGGTGCGCATTTCCTGTTTCGCCGCGCTGGTCAGTTCAACTTTCGCTCCTTTATTTGCTTTTTTTTGCTTTTTTTGCTTTTATTTGCTTTTATTTGCTTTTATTTCCTTTTATTTGCTTTTATTTGCTTTTATTTGCTTTTATTTGATGCTAGTTCCGCTTTTTTCCGCTTCTTCCGCCCCGTTTTCGTGCCTCTTGTGCAACTTCGCGGACTTCTCCCTTTGCGTGGCTGATATCCCCCCTTTTACTTTTAATTTCCCTTCCTCTCCATTCCTTCCCGGGATCACCCCCCAGCCCCACCACCAGCCCCACCAGCAGCAGCAGCAGCAGCAGCAGCAGCAGCAGCAGCAGCAGCAGCAGTTGTTACGATTTGTTGTTTGCTGCAGACGGCCTTCTGGGTTTCTCTCTTTGTGGTGCTGCTGGAGGAAAACAGTTACCGCCACTACGAGCCGCCGGGGCAGCTGAAGTTCGAGGGTTGGCTTTACTGCAAGTGCGGCTACATTAAATATGTTGCGAGACAAACCACTTGGAACTTGAACATGTTTTGGTGTTTTGGAAACGAAACCGACGCCAACTTCTACCTCAACGCCTAGCTGCTGCTGCTGCTGCTGCTGCTGCTGCTGCAGCAGCGGCGGCGGCGGCGGCTTGCTGCGGCAGCTGCTGCTGCGGCTGCTGCAGCGGTTGCTGCGGCAGCAGCAGCTGCTGCTGCTGCTGCAGCGGCTGAGACGCAGCGCGTGCGAGACACGGCCAGACGCGGTAGTGCTGCTGCTGCTGTGTGCAGCAGCAGCTCATGTTGCTGCTGTTAGGGCTGCAGCAGCTGCTGCTGCTGCTGCGAACGCGGCCGCAGCTGCTGCTGCAGCTGCTGCTGCTGCAGCAGCTGCTGCTGCAGCTGCTGCTGCGGGGCGTGAAGATGCACTTTCATGTTGATGGGATGCAGTGTATAGACAGAGTCCGGGGTTTTAAAAATAAAAAAAATAAAAATTGTAAACCCTAATTAGACTTTTGGTCTGCTCCTCTTTCCGTCGCATTTATTTCATTCCGCAGACTCATACAATTTTCAATGGATTGTTTTGTCGAGGGTTTGGGGTTTAGGGTTTAGGGTTTAGGGTTTAGGGTTTAGGGCTTAGGGTTTACGCCTTAGGTCCGCCGCGGGCCTTTAATGCTGAAGTCCCTGCTGCATTCCCCAGCATTTAGGGTTTAGGGTTTAGGGTTTAGGGTCTAAGGTACAGGCTTTAGATCCTAGGGTTTAGGGTTTAGGGTTTAGGGTTTAGGGCTGCCTGTTCAAGCTGTTCAGGACTTCGCCAAATACTTGCCTCGCTGTTCACGAGTCTATGGAGGCGTAGTATCAAACCCTAAACCCTAAGCCCTAAACCCTACACTCTAAGCCCCAAACCCTAATCTCTAAACCCTAAACCCTAAATCGTAAGATACAGAAGCTGGAAGCCCTGGTGAATTTCTTTTCTTCTCCTTCTTGCACTTTCTTTGAAAAGAATAAATGAATAAAATTCAAATTGAATTTAAAAATTAAAAATAAAGTTCAACTTGAAGGATCAAAAACAAAATAAATTTCTTGCACAGAGAGGCCCGCGCCAATCTTTGAAGCGCCCAACAGCTAGCTAGCTAGGTACCTAGCTAGCTAGCTGTTAGCTAGCTAGCTAGCTAGCTAGCTAGCTAGCTAGCTAGCCAGCTAGCTGGCCATATTGCTAGCAAGCCGTCTAGCCAGCTAGCTAGCTGTCCGGGCAGCCAGCCAGCTAGCTACCTAGCTAGCTACCTAGCTAGCTAGCTAGCCATATTGCTAGCGGCCCGGCTAGCCAGCTAGCTAGCTAGCTGGCTAGCTGGCTAGCTAGCTAGCTAGCTAGCCACATTGCTAGTGACGCGGCTAGCCAGCTAGCTAGCTAGCCGGGTAGCCAGCTAGCTAGCCAGCTAGCTAGCTAGCTAGCTTGCTAGCCAGAAGATGTGTTCACTCTTCAAGGTCCCTTTGGACTTCTTCGGGGGTGGGTTTGAGGAAGTTTTGGACAAGTTGGGGAGGCAGTTGTCGGGGAATGAATTTGAAAAAAGAAAAATGAAAAGAATTAAAAAAGTGGAACAAATTAAACGAATTAAATGCATTAAATGCATTAAATGAATTAAATGAATTAAATGCATTTAAAGGACTAAAAGATTTGAAAGAATTGAAGTTCAAAGAATCCAAAAAAGAAAAAAAAGAAAAAAAAGAAGAAAAAGAAAAAAGACAAACTACTCGACTCAACACCAGCCCGCTGCTCACTGGCCCGTAACTCCGACTGTCGTGGGACATGTCTGAAAACAAATAAATAAATTAATTTAATTAATTTAATTAATTTAATTTAATTAATTTAATTAATTTGATTTAATTAGTCTAATTAATTTGATTTAATTGATTTAAATGATTTGATTTAATTGATTTAATTCAATTTCTTTATTTCATTTCATTTAATCTTTTAATTGTTTTGTTTGAATTTGGTGGAGTGGGAAATTTGGGTTGGGATGCGCAGCAGATAATTAGTTTGATTTAATTAATTTAATTTAATTTAATTTAATTAATTTAATTTAATTGATTTAATTTAATTAATTTAATTTAATTAATTTAATTTAATTAATTTAATTTAATTGATATAATTTAACCAATACAATATACAAGAAAGGGAAGAACATAAAGAAAGAAAGGAAAAGGAGATAATCAAAAAAGCAAAAAAGAGAAAAGACAACAGAGGAGTAAATGCAGAAAAATGAAACAAAGAAGAAAATTAAAAAGAATGAAAAAGGAAAAAAAGAAAGAAAAAAAGAAAAAGAAAAAAGAGCAAAAAGAAGAATAAATGGAAGAAAGCCAAATGGGAGAAAAAGAACAAAAAGAAAAACAAATTGAAGAAAAGAATAAATATAAAGGCAAAAAAGAAATAAAAGAGAAAATAAAATAAATAAAATAAAATAAAATAAAATAAAATAAAAGAATAAAAAAAGGCTAACCTGGATTATCTCCCTGGAGCCAGACGAAGTTTTTGGGGACTCTGACGAGGGTTTTAAACCCTGAGGGTTTATCTCCATCTGCTAGGGTTTTAAACCCTGAGGGTTTATCTCCATCCGCTAGGGTTTTGGCGAGGGTTTCAAACCCTAAGGGTTTCTCTCCATCCGCTGGGATGGATTCCCCGAGGGTTTCAAACCCTGAGGGTTTACCTTCTGGCGCTTTGCCAAGGGTTTGAAACCCCGAGGGTTTAGAAACACCCTCTGCGGTTTTGTCGAGGGTTTCAAACCCTAAGGGTTTGAAACCCTCGGGGGTTTGCGCGAGGGTTTGAAACCCTAATGGTTTTCTGAAACCCTCTGGGGTTTGTGCGAGGGTTTGAAACCCTGAGGGTTTTCTGAAACCCTCGGGGGTTTGTGCGAGGGTTTGAACCCCCGAGGGTTTGAAACCCTCGGGGGTTTGTGCGAGGGTTTGAACCCCCGAGGGTTTGAAACCCTCGGGGGGGGGCTGGGGGGCGAAGACGTCTCCCTCGAGGGCCACCACGCGTTTGCAAACCACTGCGGCGTCTTCGGGCGAAAAAGCCAAAACGACTTCGCCTCTTTTAATTGGAAAAGTTTTGAAGAGAAGCCGCAGCAGCAAAGTGGCCCGATCGCCCAGCAGCAGGTCGCCCGCGTCTTGCACGGTGGGGCTCATGGAGAGGCCGCGGGCCTGCGCAGCGCGGAAACGCGCGGAAAGCGCGGAGAATTTTCTCTTTTTTCGCTCTTTTTTGCTTTTATTTGCTTTTATTTTATCTTTTAAATCTATTCTGCACAAGTTTCCCGCTTTCGCGCGGGAAAATGAGCCCGGATCGCCCGCGGAAGCACGCGGCCAGCCGCCGCGAAAGCTGCGCTTTCTCGCTTTCTTTCGGCTCTTCGGGAAAACTTTGAAAGCAAAATTAAAAAAACAAAATTAAAAAGAAACAAAATCTAAAATTCACATTTTTTTGTTCTTACTTGCTTCGTGGAGGCCACGTAGTTGTCCACGAAGTGCAAAACTCCGAACGCAAATGCGAAGCGGCCCAACACGGAAAAGGTGAATTGGCTGCCGCGGCGGACCAAACTCGAAACTTGCAAAACGCGATCCATTTCGAAATGCGGAAGTTGAATTCTTTTCCTCTTCAGCAAAACAAATTAGCAAACTTCAGTCATTTCTTTCCATAAATAATAAGTGATTTATCGGCAAACAATCCACCAGCTTCCCGCCGTTCAAAAGATGAAGGAAGGTGCGCATACACCCCAGATTCACCGCCAGAAAGGAACCTCGAGACTTCAGAAACGCATTTAAATCAATTCAAAAACCCTAAAAACCCTAAAAACCCCAATAAACCCTAAATTGGCGAATAATTCATATACAATAACTCATACAATAATTCATCTTTTGCAGTTTCCTTCCTTCAGAGGAGTCGCCGCTGGGAGAAACCCTGATGGTCTGCAGAGCAGACAAGACCCGAATTGAAGAAAAAGTTGAAACTATTCAGCAAAAGTGAGGCATTTGAGGCTTTTGAATTCCAATTTTACTTTTTCAAAATCAATTTGAGCAGCTTCCTTCAAATTCAGAAAGCCCTCGGGGTCCTTTTGCAAGAAAAGCTGAACAAACGGCGCCGCGTTCAAGAAACCCCAAACAGCTCTCTGCGCACTTTTTGAAAAAACACAAAATAAACCAATTCTTCATTTCCAACTTCTGCATTTCCAAACACAAATTCCAGCATCTTTCGCGGGGGCCCCATGCATGAGGGGCCCTTCAGGGGGCCCCTCAGGGGCCCCCTTGGGGCCCCCACCAGGGGCCCCGGGGGCCCCCACCAGGGGCCCCGGGGGCCCCCACCAGGGGCCCCGGGGGCCCCCGGGGGCCCCCAAAGGGAATTTCTGAAGGAGAGAAATTGAGTTGGTATTTTTTGAAGCGTATATACACCTGAGCACCTAATAGAGTCGTTTGAATGGGATTTTAAAGGCGTTTTAGGGAAGCAGAGGAAGAAGCCTTCTGGGGGCCTCTTGAAGGTATTTTTGAATTCTTTTTTCTCTTTTTTATTCTTTTTTCTCAATGTGGATCCGAAAAAGAAATGCAATTAAAGCAGGATGAAGACAGCAGGGCGAGGGGCCCCCGGGGGCCCCCCGGGGGCCCCCCAGAGTCGGAGTACCCTCGGAGGGCCCCCTTGGGGGTCCGCATCTGCTTCCGCGTGTCTTTGTTCTTTGCATGCTCGGTCATAATTTGCTGCTGCTGCTGCTGCGCTGCAGCAGCAGCAGCAGCAGCAATTCACAGGCGGCCGTGCAGCCGCGCTGCGGAGCTGCGCATACACCTCGCGCAGGTGTCTGTACACCCCAACGCCTTTCCCTCCCCCCCCTGTTCTGCTGCGAGCTGTCCGTACACCCCAGCAGCCGCTGCCTTCCTGCTGCCGCTGCAGCGCCAGCTGCTGCCCACCAGCAGCAGCAGCAGCAGCAGCAGCAGCAGCAGCAGCAGCAGCAGCAGCAGGCTGGAGGGGGCTCGTTCGAACCGGATAAACGGGAAGCGCCCCTGCGTGCTGCCTTCTCCGTCTCTGTTTCCCTTCGGCTTGCTGCAGCTGCTGCAGCAGCGCAGCAGCAGCAGCAGCAGCTTGCCAAACCCTGTCTTCACGGGGCAGCACTTAAGACTTCCTGCTGCACCTTCTGCAGACTGCTGCCTCTTGGGGGGCCCCCGGGGGCCCCCCCGGCTCTTCGCGCCTCCGCCCTTTCGCCTGCAGGCCAGGGGGCCCCTGCAGGCCCGCGGGGTGGCCCTCACCCGCCTGCGCTGGCCCCAAGACCAGCAGCAGCAGCAGCAGCAGCAGCAGCAGCAGCAGCAGCAGCAGGGGCTGCAGAGGGAGCAGCAGCAGCAGCAGCAGCAGCAGCAGCAGCAGGGGGGGTGGGAG